TCCCTTGGCGACTATCCAGTCATTCTTGGCCTTCCATGGCTCTCCCGACACAATCCTGTTATCGATTGGTCCCGTCAGACCATTGTTTTCTCTTCCCCGTACTGTAGAATGCAGTGCAGTCAACCTGACAAGTTGATGGGAAACGATTCCGGTACCCCACTCCAGTCTAGTAACCTAGAGCGCCAGTATGGCTCAGGTTCCCCTTCGACCACTCAAGATGGCCAGTGTGCCTCTGAGAGGATTCCTTCCAGCAAGATCGAACGACAGCATGGTGCTCCGCGGTCTCTCCAGCAACAACACAATCGACAAAAGTCACTTCAGTATCCAGTCCCTGTTCACACTCCGGCTCCTCCCAAGGTCACCCTTGTGAGTGCAGCAGCCTTTCGCAATGCTCTAAAGAAAGCTTGTGTCTATGGCATCACCTCCGTTTCCCAAGTCACTTCGCTCATTGATCCTCTTCCGGCTGAGGACGATGATGATCCTGATCCTGATATGGATACTCTAATCAAGAGTATACCCCCCGAATACCATGACTTTCTAGAAGTCTTCAAGAAATCCAACTCGGACCAGCTCCCAGAACATAGCCAGTATGATCATTCCATTTCTATTGAGGGTGACTTGCGACCACCTTTTGGACCCATCTACTCGCTGTCTGAAGTTGAGCTTAAAGCTTTGGACGGATATCTTGAAGACAATCTCGAGAAAGGTTTTATCCGACCCAGTTCTAGTCCAGCAGGCGCTCCAATACTCTTTGTCAAGAAGCCTGATGGTTCCCTCCGACTCTGTGTAGATTACAGAGGACTCAACAAAATTACTCATAAAAATCGATATCCCCTGCCCCTTATTCAAGAATCCCTGGACCGACTTAAGGAGGCATCATGGTTCACAAAAATTGATCTCCGTGCAGCTTATAACCTCATCCGCATCAAGGATGGGGATGAGTGGAAAACAGCTTTTAGGACCCGCTATGGTCTCTTTGAATATCTAGTCATGCCCTTTGGGCTTACCAATGCTCTGGGGCCTAATCATGGGCAATTATCACCAATGCTCCGGCTTCCTTCCAGTACCTCATCAATGACGTGCTGAGGGATTATCTTGACATCTTTGTCATAGTATATTTAGATGATATCCTTATCTTTAGCAAAACAAGAGAGGATCATATCAGTCACGTCAAGCAGGTGCTTGAGCGACTTCTTTCAGCATCAAGTCGACTTTCTAGGATACATCGTCTCAGACAAAGGTATCAGTATGGATCCCAAAAAGGTCTCCGCAGTACTCGACTGGCCAACACCACACTCCGTCCATGACATTCAAGTCTTCCTTGGCTTCGCCAACTTCTACAGGCGATTCATCAAGTCTTACTCCAAAGTCACTGCACCATTAACCAGACTGCTCCGCAAGGATGTTAAGTTTGAATGGGGTGACTCTGAGGAAGAATCATTCAACTCTCTCAAGAAATTATTTACCACTGCTCCCATTCTCCACCATTTCCAGCCCACCAAGCCAATTGTAATAGAGACAGATGCTTCTGACTTTGCAATTGCTGGTATCCTCTCCCATCCAGACGACAAAAATCAACTTCACCCTGTGGCGTATTACTCAAGAAAACTTCAACCAGCCGAACTCAACTATGAAATTTACGACAAGGAAATGCTTGCTATTGTAGAAGCATTCAAACAATGGCGACCATACCTTGAAGGAGCTCAAGAAATTACAGTTTATACGGATCACAAGAATTTAGAATACTTTGCAACAACCAAAGTACTTAATAGACGTCAAGCTAGATGGGCAGAACTCATGGCAAACTATGATTATAAAGTCATTCATAGACCCGGAACTGCCATGGGAAAACCAGATGCCTTGACGAGACGTCAAGACCTTCAGGGGGGGAGTAGAGCTGCTGAGGCACCTCCACACACACTTTTCAAACCTGGTCAATTCATTCTAGGTGCCCTTCAACAACCCTCCTTGGACCCCACTTCTCCACTTCACTCCAACATCTTGGCAAGGATAAAGCAACTGCAGCCTGAGGATAATACCCTTCAAGAGCTCATGCCTTTTCTACGCAATCCCAGTACTCCTCGTCCTCCTGAACTTCAACCAAAGCTTGAAGGTTTCAGCTACTCCGACAACATCATAAGATTCAAAGAAAGAATCTATGTCCCAGACAACTTCGAACTCAAGACAGACCTTCTCCAACAGGTCCACAACTCTAGTACCTCTGGTCACCTTGGTCAGGCAAAGACACATGATCTCCTGACACGTCATTATTACTTCCCTGGCTTGCGACAATTTGTCAACACCTATGTTAATGGGTGTCACACTTGCGCACGAAATAAAATCCCACGACATAAACCTTATGGACCCTTACAACCACTCCCTGTTCCTTCTTATCCTTGGCAATCTATTAGTATGGATGCCATAGTCAAACTCCCTTTATCCAGTAACTTTGATTCAATCATGGTCTTTGTTGATCGTCTTACCAAACAAGCCCACTTTATTCCATATAAAGAAGATGGCTTTGATGCTCCTCAATTAGCTGTGATGTTCCGACAACAAATCATGCGACTTCATGGTATACCTCAAGATATTGTCTCAGATCGTGGACGGATCTTTGACTCTCATTTCTGGCGAGCCTTTGTCAATGGACTAGGCATCAAACCAAACTTCTCAACAGCTTTCCATCCTCAGTCAGATGGTCAGACTGAACGTGTCAATCAAGTCTTAGAAAATTATCTCAGAACATTTTGCAATTATGACCAAGAAAACTGGTCTTCACTCCTAGATCTGGCAGAATTCAGTTATAACAACTCAGTTCATGCAACCGCCAAACATTCTCCCTTTGAAGCAACCTATGGTTACCATCTGTCACGAACTACATCGTAACATCCCTGACAACCACCATCACCGACCCTCCTTTCACCATCACCGACCCTCCTTTCACCATCACCGACCCTCCTTTCACCATCACCGACCTTCCTTTCACCACCACCAACCTCCACTCGAACCACTGAGACCAACTACAACGAAGTTACGAGAACCAAAGGGGGATTTGTCACGATAACCCTGCCTAGCGGAGAACTACGGCGATGTCACAAACGTCGTTTCTTCTTCTCTACTGACCGACGGTCGACAAACCTCGGCTAACTACGTCGTAGTGGGGCGTCGTTGTCTCACTAAGACAGGGTACTCGTCGAGGAACTACGGCTAACTTCGCCGTAGTGATTCGTCGAGTGGTAAACTGCTAAGGTGATCGTCGATGAACTGCGGCTAACTTCGCCGTAGTACGTTGAACTTGTCATGAATGTTGATAAGGAATTCTGACTCATGCTCAGAATAGTGATCAGGAAATATGACTCATGCTAAGAACTGTGATAAGGATTGAAGGAAAATATGAGTCATGGTATTTAGCAGTTCAGCAGTGAGGCATTTACGTGATTGGCTGAAGCCTGGAAGGTTCAGCAGTTTAGCAGTGAGGCATTTATGTGATTGGCTGGAATTAGTTTCCCGCGGTGCACTCACTTTGAGGCATTTATGTGATTGGCTAGAAAATCCCTCACACGCTTTTTATTTAGTACACCTACTTTAGTTTTGAAGGGTATAAAAGGAGCACATCTCCCCCCTCTTTCTTCAGCAATGTATCTTCATCTTGAAGTTGAACTTCATCTTTGAAAGTCACCTAGTTGGTTCTAACCCAACACCTCAGTACCCTCAGTACCTAAGGCAGTCATCAAGCTCTACGAGCCAGAGACTAAAATCCTTCAGTACCCAAGGCAGTACTTTGCAACCGCAGTCTACCCGCAGGCGTGACAGAACTGCTCGGTGGTAGCTCTCCTTAACTCGAAGGTTGTAGCTACTGACTATATCTCTCGCTACTGACAACAATCAAGGATCGCTGAAGAAGTTCAGCGACCTGTAAACTATCTATACTACTCCTCTCCTCTCATAGAACGTCTCTCAACTCCTGCACTGCCTCACGCTCAGTCCCCTTCGTTCAACTTCGCCGTACCTCGCCGTTCCTCGCCATATCCCCGATATCCTACTGTTCACTTCGACTAACTTCACCTAACTTCCCTTGTCCTGCCCTCCCTCGGCTGCCTTCCACTAACTTCGCCGTAGTTCTCCGCTAGGCGGGGTTATCGTGACAAATCCCCCTTTTGGTTCTCGTAACTTCGCCGTAGTTGGTCTCAGTGGTTCGAGTGGAGGTTGGTGATGGTGAAAGGAGGGTCGGTGATGGTGGTTGTCAGGGATGTTACGATGTAGTTCGTGACAGTCGCCCCCTCCTTAGGCGCGAACGTCCTCGTGAGCTTCGTATGCATGTAATGAAGAAAAGACACTCAGCGGGTTGCAGGAAGCACAATTTGTCATATGAGTATTGTTGGTAGATGATACCATGGTTCGTTGTTGTTCGGACAGTAAACTTCGTCGAAGTTCATCGTGGTTGCTTGTTGTTACCCTGTGGTGGTTACGTTGTAAGTGAGACTGAGGATTTGGGGTACAACAAACCTCGTCGAAGTTCGTCAGCGTATCCCTAACTTATATGAATGTGAGACACTCAGCGTGGGAATTTTGATCGTCGCCATGGTGTTTGTTGTCGTTGAGACACGTCGTTATGCGAAGTTACCAGCGCCCTGACGACGAGTAGCCGTGTCAGTTATACTAAATACTCGGTACTTCGGCCCACTTCGTCTTCTTCCCCAGTACCAATCCTAAATCGTACTATCATCGAGTATCAAACCTCAGCTTTTACCTTACCACACATATCTATTTGATATATTTCAACAATATGAGCACTCGCCAACAACTCGACGCCTATCAGTCCTTCGTGGAACGGTACGCCGCTGCCCGTCAGTTCACTCATGCTGCCCGTAAGCTAGATTGTCGCTGATCAATACAGTCTCTCAGCAGAGGAATACCCCCCGCCAAGTGTCGTCCATGGGTTTCGGGGCCCTGGCTATCACCGATGGCTCGCCCTTCGTCGCGGCCCCTCCTGACGCCGGAGCTTCCGCTGCGGCTCCTTCTTCCGCCGAGTCCCCCATTACGGCTCCGACCCCTCTCTCCTCTGGCCAACAGGAGGCCAGACCTGCTCCTGTTGGCCCTTCGCAAGCTTCGGGTCAGTCTGCTACTGTGGTGGAGATTGATGATGACGACGAGGATATGGATATCGTTGATAGTGATGATGAGATGGATGATGTTGTTGATGGTGAGGAAACGGGTGGTGTAGATGATGGAGAAGTAATGGCCGGTGTAGATGATGTTGAGGAGGCGGATGATAGAGCCGCAAGGGTGGCGGCGCTGAAGGCCTTGAGTCGTAAGTCAGCCGTTGTAATCACCTGCGCGTTAGTGTTGACGTATCTAGCCATCCGTATTACGAGGGGTTCTCCAGAACTTCGTATTACCAGTCAATATTCCGATGGTAACAAGCGCGTCGAGTACGCCCATCATTTGGAACAGGTCAAGGCCGAAAAACGTCCTCGGTCATCCCCCAATCAGGACGAACCTCTCTTCCCTTCGGCGAAACGGACCAAAGGTACTCGTAGTTCGCCTCCCTCTGGTCTGGAGGAAGTGTCTCCCTCTCCCACCAAGGAGCCGAAACGGTCGTTGCGGGAGCAGGAAAGATTATGGAAGTTGTTTACCGATGAGAGGGAGCGATGGGAGGTCGCAAGTATCGATGAGTCGTGTGATAGATGTCGGTAGGTTCCTCCCCTAGAAGTTTATACATCTGCTGATCAGTAGTCGCGAAATCATCACGTATGGAAGGTCGAAGTGGCCGTGTCTACGACCGGTCAAACCTCATAATCGCGGATCCCGTTGTGCTTCTTGCACATCCGGGCCATGCTCGTTCTGTCCCCCCAGTACCGCTCGGGATATTCCTCCTAGGACCTCTGTCCCTCCTTCAACAGCGCGGGACGTACTAGCAACTCCCTTCGTCCCCTACTGGGGGCCTCCTTACACTCCGTCCGACGTCGTTCGCCGCCGTGTCCCCACGGCCCAGGACAAGGAATTCTCCCCGCCCTCTCCTTCGGCAAACTTCTCCTCTCCCGGCCCTACTTCGCCGTCTCCCGCCGCCCGTCGCCCGCCTGCCTCTCCCGTCGCTGGACCGTCACGTCTTCCTGCCACTCCTTCGGGAGGTCCGTCCCGTCGCACTCCTCGTCGTGCTTCTTCCGCCGCTCTTCGGCCTTCTACTCCTGTGGCTGGCCCATCTCGTCTCCCGGCTACTCCTTCTGCCGGTCCGTCTCGTCCCACCAGGAGCCGTCCTACTCCTGTCTCAACTCAAGAGGATTCCCCTCTAAGTCTTCCTCCTGCCCTCGGAACCCGGAGCCGTCAACCATCTGTTCCTCCTGCTACTGGGCTCCTCACTCCTGCTCCTCCTGTCAAGACTCCTCCTTCGAAATCTTCAAAAGGGAAAAATAAGAAAAAGGTCGTCCAATTCGAACCTGCGGTGGTAGGGAATGAAAGTACTCAGCTACCAGAGGAAATCCCTCCTCCCCTCGACCACCCCTACATTTCCGACGACCCTCGAATCCCAGAGGAGGAGAAACAATTGGCTACCTTCCGCTCTCTCATCATTGGTTTGACTACGCACTTACATGCCAATAGACGAGATACGGCGAAGCTCCTCGAATATTGCATGAAGCTGGTCTCTGGTATGAACACTCTCTCCCGGACAATGGCAACTCTTGTAAACTCCTCCGACATAGGCCCATTAGCACGGACTGAGTTAGCTAGAGTCTCCCGAGAGCTCATGACGGAAATGAGCGATTTCTACCGCAATCTTTTCGATTCTCCCTTCCTCCTGAATCCCGTCGAGTACTCTCTCCCCCCCACCCTGGACTGGTTGACACCACCGAACCCGGCTCGACTCAGTTCTCAGGATGGTGCTTTTCTCGATATCCTGGCTCTTCCCCCCGACTGTCTCAGAACGCTTCGACAGTTGTGGAAGCTGCCTAGCTTAAATATCGCTCGTGATGTGGCTCTCCATGCTGATCACATTGAGGCCTTCAATATAGCGTGGAGAGAGACTCGGTCCCTTCGACGGGTGGTGCGACCGAAGGTTACCGTGAGTAGTTCTGGGAGTGGTCCTGCACCGGGGAACGAGGAACAGGGAGGAAGTTCGCAGCAGTGAGTTGTACTTAGCTAATGTTGTACCAGTTGTATGAATTACTTCCTCGTTCGTGATCTTACCACTCGTCCTTTTGTCGGCTTATCCGGGTGAAGTTCGTGGAACTTCGCCAATATGTCATTAGCTCCATCCACATTCTCCACTGGTTCCCATGATACTGCGTCATCAGAGCCTTCGTAGCCTAACCATTCCACTAGATACTCTAACTTCCCTGACCTCTTATTTACTCTTGAGTCCACAATATCCTTCACTTCCCACGATTCTCCTACGTTATCTACCTCTACTGGGCCAGGTGGTTCAGCTTGCTGACCAGGAAATACTGGAGGGTGATAGGGACGGAGCAAGGAGACATGGAATACATCATGGATACCTGCCATTGTTCCTGGCAATTCCAATTTACAAGCATGAGAACCTACCTGCCGTACCACCTTGTACGGCCCACTTTGTTTCACATCCAGCTTCTTCATCGGTCTCTTAGTCTTAATGTTCTCTAATGACAGCATCACTAGGTCACCTTCCACGAAGTTCGGCGTAGTTCGATGTTTCCTGTTGTATCCTTCGGCGTACTTCTCGTTAGCTTTCTCAATCCCCTCAATACACTCCTTATGTATTTCGGTTAGGTCTCTTACTGCTATTGTAGCAGCAGGCACCTCAACTTCACTAGCCTTAATCTCTTCAGCCCATCGAGGGTGGTACCCATAGTTCGCATAGAATGGGGTCTTGTTTATCGCGGAATGATGGGTATTGTTATAAGCAAAGCTAGCTCGAGCAAGCAGCTTTGACCAATCATTCTGCTGGTAGGAAGTGAAGATTCGAAGGTATAATTCCAGGGACTGGTTCGTTCGTTCGGTCTGTCCATCAGTCTGTGGATGATACGCGGTAGAAAGATGTAGTCTTATCCCGAGACTATCGGTCAAGTTCTTCCAAAACTTCGAAGTAAACTTCGATCCTCTGTCTGATACTATACTCTCTGGTAACCCATGCTGGGCCACCACATAGTCCATTATCAGCTCTGATAGCCCAGCTGCGGTTAACTTCGTCGTGGTTGGGATAAACATGGCCCATTTTGTCAGTCGATCCACGACCACTAAGATAGAGTTATATCCATGGGAATTTGGGAGCTCTTCGATGAAATCCATCGAGATACTTGACCAAGGTTTTGTTGCTACCTGTAGGGGTTTAAGTTCTCCATGAGGCTTCTGTCTGTTAGTCTTAGCTCTCTGACATACCGCACAACCAGCGACATAGTCTTCTACATCCTTCCTTACTCCAACCCAAACATAATCCCTTAGGATTAGTTCAAGGGTCTTCGCCGAACCTGGGTGACCAGCCAAAGCCGAGTCATGTCGCATCTTCATGATCTTTAGTCGAGCGTCGGCGTAGCTCGGCACATAAGTGCGATCGTCGAATGCGAGGAAACCTCTCTGGGTCCACCCCCCACGAAGTATTAGAGGAGATCGCGAACTACGGCGTAGTTCGGTGATTGATCCTGGTTCCTGTACATCATCATGACACGTCGGATGAGAACACTCAGCGCAGATAACTCCTAATAACTCCTCTCTAACCTCCTTTACGTCTTCGTCCTCCTGAACTCCAAGTATCAGATCCATAGGCTCGACAAGATCCTTTTCCTTCATTTCCCTTGTCCCTTGCAAGGCTCGAAGGAGGTGGCGCAACTCCGACGTGGTGGCGTCAACTTTGTCGAACTTCGGCAGACCTTGAATAAGGTTACTCTCTTGTATCATGGTACTTCCTTTTCCCGAGTGATAATCCGCCCGTCTAGACAACCCGTCTGGAAGGCTTGCTTGAGTCCCTGGTCGATAAACCATTTTAAATCTGAAGTTAGCTAACTCTTCTACCCACCTACCTTGACGTGGGCTGAGTTGCTTTGGTTCCATCCAGTAAGTGAGATTTAAATGGTCGGTAAGGACCGTGGTTTCTACCTGCAGTAGTAAGTGTCTTCTTCTTCTGAAACCCTCAACTACGGCGAGGAACTCCTTTTCTCCTACCGTGTAATTTAGTTGGGCCGCATTGAACGCGCCTGACTCGATGGCGACTGGGTGCTCTTGCCCAGCCGTATTAATCTGCGAAATTATGAAACCCCAGCCGAAGAACGAGGCATCTGTCTGTAATATGGTTTTCAATGTGGGGTCAAAGTGAGCTAACACCGGCGCAGTACACATCCTAGCCTTCAATTCCTTAAAGGCTGACTCCTGTTCTGCTCCCCACACAAACGGTACCTCCTTCCTCGTCAAATCATTGATAGGTCTAGCAATCTTCGAGAAGTTGGGAACAAAACGCCTGTAATAGCTCACGACTCCAATGAAACCCCTCGACTCTCGTAGATTCTTTGGACGTGGGAAGGATGTGATGGCGTCAATGTACTCTGGATTAACCGATACACCTCGAGAGGAGACCACAAAACCCAGGAATACCACCGAATCTCTTTCGAACTCGCACTTACTAGCTTTCACGTACAAGTTCGCTTTCCGCAGCACCTCAAAGACCTTCGCCGTAGTTCCTCGTAATTCCTCCAATGTATTCCCATAAATGAGGATATCGTCAATGTAGACCACGACTCCATTCCCTAGCAGTTCTCTAAACACCTCGTTCAGGAAGTGTTGAAAAACAGCAGGGGCGTTTCGCAGCCCATCACGAACGACAAGAGATTCAAACATACCATACTGTGTCCTGAAGGCCGTCAGGTGTTCATGCCCTTCTGTCACCCTCAACAATTGGTATGCCCCAATTAGGTCTAGTTTGCTGAAGTACCTTGCCTTTCCAAGTTCTTCGGTAATCTGGCCTATTAATGGGAGGGGGTAGGCGTCTGGTATGGTCGCTTCGTTCAGTTTTCGGTAGTCGATAACCATTCGCCATTGTCCCTCGGCTTTCTTCGGTATCATAAACATCGGTGAGCCGTACGGCGAGTTACTTGCTCGAATTCGGCCAGCGGCGATTTCGCGATCTAGTATGTCTCTCAGCGCGCGTCTCTGATCTTCTCCTTGAGCATAGAGGGAGGCGACCTTCAGGTTCGCCCCCTCCTTAAGCTCAAACTTCAAATCGTAGGACCTCGAAGGGGGAAGGGTCTCTCCTCCCTTCTTCGGATTAAACACGTCAATGTACTGGTGGTATTGTTCAGGAACTACCTGGAACAACTCGTCTTGTTCCTCCGGGCTCAGCTCTTCAAGCTCATCTTCGCCTCGGAGGTCTGTCTCGTCGGTTCGGGTCCTGAGCCCTATGGCTGCCAGGACCGCAACATCTTTCGTCTGTGGAAAGGGAGAGGATAACTCTTCCCTTTCACTCGGCAAGGGTAGGGGAAAGGACACTGCGCTTTCCTCATTGTTCGTCTGGGGAATAGGGAAGGATATCATATTCGCTCCCCCATTCAGGATCACCCCTTCTTCTTTCATCCATTCCCATCCTATCACGACATCCGCGTCGCAAAGGGTGGTAACATCCAGCTTAATTGGGCGAACCTCGCCTAACTTCTCGACCCCCAGACTTACTTCGACAAACTCCGTAATGGGTCCAGCCACACTAACCGAGCCATCGAACATGTGAACTGGTACACTCACGGGGTATTTCCTCTTCTCCTTCCTAATCTTCCTGGCCGCCTTGGGACTTATATACGAACAGGTCGCTCCAGTGTCCCACAAGGCTGTTAGTTCAACTCCGTCGACATACACATTAGATTTGGGTTGGTTGTTACAGGTGGAAGGGATTAGGGTATGACAGTCGTTTATACATTTCGGAGTGGTGTTTACGGATTTATATACACATTTACCTGGTCTCATCAGCTCTTTCCTTTTACTGGGGGTAGGAATAGTGGCCGAGAGAATATGAGTGCGGACCCGCCGAGTCTCGCCTATCGCGACGGGTCCCCATCTTTTTCCTCCTCGTCCATCCCCCGCTCTCCAACGCCTGCTTCCTCCCTCCCGACTGCATTGATCTTCTTCCTGTCCCCAAGAGGAACGGCGTTCCCCCCCGTGCTAAATCTCCCTTCTCCCCCAGCATTTTGCCCAAAAGATCGCAAGGGGATGATCCCTGCTTTTACCTTCGCCGCTATTACAGGACAATCCCGGTTGTAATGCCCTCTCTCTCCACACCCAGTACACTTCCCTTCCTCTCGACGCTTTAAAACCTCATCAGCACTGGGTCTCGGCCAACGACGATTTAGTTCGTCTACATCCGTTGGTATCGCCCTTCCCCCGTTCGTGCCTCTAGGCTGCACGCCCTCGACCTTCGCCGTAGATTGCCATTTCTCCTGGCTCCCCCGTTCCCCTCCCCGAATTACTTCCTCTCTCCTCTCCCCCTGTTCCTTCACCTCCTTCCTCTTCTTCTCATTCTCCTTCTCCACCTTTCGTTGATGCAAACGATTGTCCATGGGGACCACGAACTCAATTAATTCTCGGACGGTCTTGAAAACCTTTCCATGGCGAGCAATTTCATCCAGTAGGTGACTTTTCAGTCCGTTCTTTGCCCGGTCCACGAGGTTTCCATCATCACCCCATCCTAACACCGCTACATATCGTTGAAAGGCGGCGAAGTACGCCGAAGCCGACCCATTCTGTCGGAGCTCATTTATTCCCCTTGCGGCGGTTCCTTCTTCGTCAGGGTCTCCGAAATTAGTTTTGAGATATTGGATGAACTTCTTATAGTCTAGAAGGTGTTCGGGGGGGTCGTCCTTAGGTAAATCCGGTTGGACGGCAAGGAGAGGAGTTTCACGTAGATGGGAAATCATGAAAAAGATTTTTACTCGGTCGGTGGGGAACTTGCGGGCGTTGATTTCGAAATGGACTTCACATTCTGAGATGAATGCCGTGAGCTTTGACCTCTCGCCCCTCCACAGGTCGGGGAGGGGAAGCTTTATCCCTCCACTCATCTCAGCAACTCCTGGGGTCGCCGAAGCCTGTCTTCCAATGGCGAGCCGTACTCCCTCCGAGATCCCCTCGACTATTCCCCCAACCGTCTCCTGTTCCTTCTTCTTCTCCTGCTCCTCTCGACGTTTCCTTTCTGCTATCATATCCTTATTCATCTCCATCATCATGTTCATTATCGCCAGCATCATCTTCTGTGTTGTGGCCTCCTCCTCAGTTCCTCCTACTACTTCGCTCCCGGCCGAACTTAGCCTACCTCCTGTGCTCCCTTCCCTTGGTCGTGGGGTCTGTCCCGAACCTTCGGAACCTGTCCTCACCGCTGGTGGTTCTGGTAGTCCGGTCTGCTGGGGAGGTGGTTCAAAAGGTAGGGGTGGATAGAAATCATCGCCTTGAGTTGATCCTTCGGGGGTATCAATTGCACCAGGCAATGGTCCCAAGCTTTGTCTTAATTCCTCTAACATCCTCCTCTCCGTCTCCTCTACTGTTTCTCCCGGTCTACTCATACTTCTTGTAATTCTCCTCTCTGGCTGCATACAATCTCGAACTTCTCCGAGGTTTGCACGGGTCGTCGGTAAGTGCGATCCTTGATACTGTCACAAACGTCGTTTCTTCTTCTCTACTGACCGACGGTCGACAAACCTCGGCTAACTACGTCGTAGTGGGGCGTCGTTGTCTCACTAAGACAGGGTACTCGTCGAGGAACTACGGCTAACTTCGCCGTAGTGATTCGTCGAGTGGTAAACTGCTAAGGTGATCGTCGATGAACTGCGGCTAACTTCGCCGTAGTACGTTGAACTGCTCGGTGGTAGCTCTCCTTAACTCGAAGGTTGTAGCTACTGAATATATCTCTCGCTACTGACAACAATCAAGGATCGCTGAAGAAGTTCAGCGACCTGTAAACTATCTATACTACTCCTCTCCTCTCATAGAACGTCTCTCAACTCCTGCACTGCCTCACGCTCAGTCCCCTTCGTTCAACTTCGCCGTACCTCGCCGTTCCTCGCCATATCCCCGATATCCTACTGTTCACTTCGACTAACTTCGCCTAACTTCCCTTGTCCTGCCCTCCCTCGGCTGCCTTCCACTAACTTCGCCGTAGTTCTCCGCTAGGCGGGGTTATCGTGACAAATCCCCCTTTTGGTTCTCGTAACTTCGTCGTAGTTGGTCTCAGTGGTTCGAGTGGAGGTTGGTGATGGTGAAAGGAGGGTCGGTGATGGTGGTTGTCAGGGATGTTACGATGTAGTTCGTGACAGGCGAAGTTAGTGGAAGGCAGCCGAGGGAGAGCAGGACAGGGGAAGTTAGGCGAAGTTAGTCGAAGTGAGCGGAGTAGGATATCGGGGATATGGCGAGGTACGGCGAGGGTAC